TGGCTCTGCGCCAGTCCAGGATTCCCAACGTGTCCGTGAGGTAGCATTCCTCAGTTTGTCCTACTCGTAAAAGTAGGCTAGTAGCAATGGTTTTATTTGGCGGCGGGCCACATTCGCACACGTCGCGATGCTGTCAACAGACACTTATGGTGTTTGAAGGGGACATCGGTTGTCAGCCGAAACACCAACACGCCCTCTAGTATCGCCGCTGATCGTCCGCGACCGATTATTTAGTGAAGGAGCCCCACCTACTCAGGTTAACCACCAAGGTGGCCGTCCTCCTATCCGCGACCTGGAGACGCGCTCGGTAGCACTCAGTTGTGCTATCCGTAGACAGTCCAGTGCCTACAACCGTATAAGTTGGTTATCCATCCGTTTTTCATTATTCTTTTCCGATTACCTCACACGCTACGCATGACATACAGTTTTTAGTGTATTTTCTGTAATAAAATTGAACCCTCTAACCTTAGCTAGCAACACTCATCAACCACTTTACCTGTACTATCACGTCGTTTGGCGTTTGGCCTCTTACTCCCTCGACGACTTAGGAATTGGCTATCTCTAGTTTTCTCACACTCGGTTACCCGCGTCGTTATAAACGTTATTTGTATTGTTGTGTGACTGCCTGATGCGACATATCGAAAATAAATTTATTCGCGAACAGTAATTTCCTAAACAGCCAATAAATCATCAATTCAGAATGAAATGAATTACTGATTATTTCTCCCGTGGATTCCTCTGATATAAAGCGAGTACATTTTATTTGGTATCTGAAGGTCAATTTCAATAAATGATCCTAGAGCAAATGCTCTTATCAGGGTTTGCCGCTTAGAGTGCACTCACCAACAGAATCCTGTCTCAATCGGCAATATTTTCGTCGCTATCATTTTGTGAGATTGATCTCTGCATCTTCGTAAAGCTAGACGTTAATTAATCCGAGCTGATTTTCATACTGGCTTCTTTGGGAAATACGCTCTACGGGAGACCACTGTGACTATATTCAGATTTAGTTTCAAAAGCACCAGAAAGAGTAGTGAACCTCGAGTTATCATGAATAAACGGAGTCAATTGTTGCTGAAATAGTTTGAGCAATAGTGACATCTTGAAGTCGACAGTTAGCAGTTCGAGCTTTTGTTGTTGCATTTCCTGGTTTGTCGCCCTGTTTATTGTTGATTTAGGCGTGTGCTTTTCTCATCTTAGGGACTTTTAGTGAAGGATAACCAGTACATAAATTGCTAGCTATGTTATTGCAGAAATCAGTCAAGGAGTACGACAAACATACTGAAAAATTTAACAATTTTTATCATATTGCGTCAGCTGGCTTGAGGGTACTTTTCTTCTGAATATAATGCATTCATTTCATGGATCTTCTTTTTTCGTTTAGTCTGAAAACCTGATCAATAAGCCATTTGGGAATTGCCATAAGTGC